CGTCCTGCTTATTTGTTTCCTGTTCTGCACTTGGACAAATTGCTGCTCTTGCGTACGCTTGATCAAACTACCGGTAGGTCAGTGTGGCGCCTGGCCTTGGTCCCAGAGTGGTAAAAATGGAAACATGCCGAATTGACAGGCAAAATGATGTATTTATTTTTTTCTTATATTTTTCCTGGGAAGATCAGGATCCAATCTATGGACCCGCAAATTTCTAGAATTTTCTGTGAATTCTTCTGAGCACGAAGGCAAAATGGAAATGTGCCGAATCGGCGCGGCAAGTATTTCACGAGCGAAGGCAAAATGGAAATGTGCCGAATCGGCGCGGCAAGTATTTCACGAGCAAAAGTTTTTTTTTTTTTTTTCCTGACATTTATCCTAGAAAGGTCCCGAGCTAATCTGCTTCTGGGCACGAAAAATCACCATAGCGTGAGGGAAAGGTGAAAAGAACCCCCACAGGGGAGTGAAAGCGTAGGCCAAGTAGCCGTACTTCTGTTAGCCACACATCCTATAGTGGCAAAAATGGAAATGCACCGAATCGGTGCGGCAATTATTTCATGGACAAATTGATTTATTTTTTTTCTGATATTTTTCCTGGAAAGATCACGACCAAACGGACCCTCAAATCTTTAGAATTTTCTATGAATTCTGCTGAGCACAAAAAATCGTGAAGGGCACTTTCCAGGAGGCGGATAGAGGGGTGGTTTAAATTTGTTGGAGTGCTCCACATGGAAAGGAGTTTGGCAAATTCCAAGCACAGTGTCACTAATTCGAACCTTGAATAGGTTGCCGTAACAGATGAAGTAGTTTCCGTACAGGCTTGCTCTGACTAAGCAATGCTGGTAAGTCCATCATTTCCCCCATCTCCTAGAGGCAACAAGATGCTCGATTACACATTTCAGATTAGCCCAACATTTGGGAGGGACGGTGGTGATGAGAGAAAAGCTGCAATGGGATTCCCAACTCAGCAAACAAGTGGAAGGACTCGCCGTCCTTGCGACTCGTCAAGCACATGCAAAACCGCAACGAGGACACATTGAAAACCTCATACATGCCCAGACATGTACCAGATGGGTACAGAGCACCGCCTCTGCTGGGCGGATTTGCTATGTGATGCAATATTCAGGTTGATACTCAGCAGGGGTGTCCTTCATGAACTATACGAAGTCACTCCCCTTCGACGTTTCCATCGCTGCATAGATCCTAAACCAGAGCTGAGAAGCGAACTCGGAGTTCAAACAATACCTTCATTTGTTGGCAAGGCTTCTGGATAACAGCAGATACGGGTCCATCAACTCCCATTGCAGAAATTTGCCCAAGGGCAGTAGCCCATGTTAGGCGAGTGAGACAGGCAACCACCTGCTCCATGAGCGAGTCCTGGCTCATCACAGAGGCGCCGTCCTCCTCAACTGTCATTCCTGTTTTGCAATGCTCCTCGTTTGCACCATCCCTGTCGGGATCATCCACCTGCTCTTTTACACAGACATGTGACAATCATAGGTATATTTTCCAGCACACCACACAGACGATTCCGTCATAAGTGGAAGGCCTATCCTGTAATCACATTGTGCATGCCATGTCATAGATTCTGTTACCACAAGCCTATTCACTGGAATTCAGCTTATCGGTTCACTAGTCGTTGGCCACTGGCAACCCAGCCCATATGGCCGCATGTTGAAAGGAGGAAAGCTGTGCTAGGATCCCATGTAACTACTACTGTTTTTTCAGGAATAAGCAAAGGTACAGCTTGTCGTTGCATATTTCATCCCATTACAGCGCAATTAGCATAAGTAAACAGATCATGAGCTCAAAGTCTATGGATTCAAACACAACTTTCCAAAAAGAAACAAATCGATGTCGCTCCTCGCAAGCTACAGCAGCATCACGGACGGGCACCGAGATTTACATCCTTGGATGTCCAAGTAATACAGAGTCATTCAAAGCCATCGACTGGGAGGTTGAATACTATGACAGAGGGAAGCTATCCATTCCATTAGGTACTTATCCACGAATCATGGAGAGCTCGAGACCTGGTAAGGGAGCAAGACTGAAACGAAACAAAGCAAGGGACCATAGTGGAACAAGACCAACATCGCTAAAGCACAACCTCGAGTTACCTTGTCAGTTTTCTCTGCAACCACACGCACATCAGTTTCAATGGCACCATTGCTGTTCTCAGTTATGGAGGTAACCTCTTCGTTGGCCACCTCTTTGCTCCGTTCAACCACAACAGTCCCATCCGCCCTGGAATTCGATCAAAAGCGAACATAGAATCAACAGACATACTCTAGTGATCAGTTACAAATCCATCCACTAAACACATGCTCTCATTTTCCTTTCAACCACCGTCTTCACCAGAACAGATTACCTGGTAATTATTGCCATGCCTGGACTGATTGTTGCATCAAATACAGCTATACTGTGTTCTATTCGGGTAAAGATGGTAGCAACGTCTGTTCCTCAGCGAACTGACTGCTCAATTGTTCCCTCACCTGCTCATGACAGATCATTCACAAACTGACACTCAGGAACAAAATTACGGTAAACCATCAGATCTACTCAAACAATCACTACCGTCTTCACCCGAATAGAACGCCCAGTCATTATCGCTGTAGCTAGACTGAAAGTTGCCCCAAATACAGCTATAATGCCCAGCTAGACTGAAAGTTGCCCCAAATACAGCTATAATGCCCCGGCATTGTATTTGGGTGAAGACGGTAGTAGAAGTCTGCCTAGATGTCACATGCTGAGCCTGCGCACGGGCCCCTCTTTGGGGGCCTGATGGTTGCTGGGAGCCCCCAGGCCGCATGCCCCTCAGACGCACGCCCTGGAGGCCCACAAGGGCTTAGGGCTGCAGGTTTCGATTTGAGGCAGCATTCATTTATTTATTTATTTACTTATTTATTTATTCATTTATTCATTTATTTATTATTCATTCATTCATTTATTTATTTATTTATTAAATTTATTTGCTGTCCTATTTGTCTGTTCAAACGTCGTTTTGGACTTGCACAGAGGCCAGGTTTTTGGCATGATCCGTTTTTGTCATGGTCCGTTTTTGTCCAGTACCGGACGTTCCTGCTGCATTAGCAGAGAGGGTCTGAACGTCTAGTTGGGACCCAGACCCAGCAGGCCACGTTTTGGCCGACACGGAGGCACACCTACGAGTCCCAGCGCTACTTATAGCTGGGCCACGCCTGGGCAGACGCACAGTTCGAGTAGCTCACTTCTTGGGCACGCTGCTGGAGCAGCGATACAGCGTTACGCTGGACGTAGAGGTAAACGTGTACGTAGGGAGTGAGGCGTGCAAGGAATATGCGTGAGAACGATACAGAAGTTGCGAAATCACACAGATGTCCAGGTAGTCGTGTACAAGAAGAGCACAAATGCACCGAGATTCCATCCACATGAGCGATACAATGAACTCATGAGCCAATGTTCAAGCCTTCAGGCCGCACCAACACAGTATCCAACGTCGCTCCTCTCTGTCTGGCGCCCAGCACCCAGCGCCCAGCCTGCTCTACCGGCGTCAGTCCTAATCAGCTGCATTTGGGGTGGAAGCCTACCGGTGCCACTCCTAATCAGCTGCATTTGGGGTGGAAGTCTACCAGCGTCAGTCCTAATCAGCTGCATTTGGGGTGGACGCCTAGATCTGCTCTAGACTTCCTCCCGCCTGAAAATCGAACTGCTGCAACCCCAGCGCCCAACACAGTATCCCGATGTTTAATTACATCAGGCCGAATGTATCTGCTCCACAGTAAACATGAGACACCTCTTGAATGTCGAGAAGCGACGTGAATCCCGTCCGAAGTGGAGACAAAAAAGTCCTAGTGCGAGTATGCTCTGAGCCTGGCTGGCCGTCCTGGCAGATACATCCACGGAAGTTCTATAGGCATTCGTCATGCCATCTGTGAGTCCCTGGCTTCCTCCAATGTGACCAAGAACTATTGCGTTCCTCTTTTGTTGCCTCGAGAACGACAAAACCTGTGGCGGGCGCATCTTCCCACGTCCGCACGAAAGATGCATTCCCTGATTTCACTTCAAGAGGTTCCATCAGGCCGAATGTATGAACATCACATAATTTTCGTCTTTCGTGCATGTGGAGAGTAGTGGAGCAAGGCCCTAAATCAGAAAATGGTCCCAAAAAGAGCAAAATGGACATCACATGTTCTGGGCTAAGGCTCCCAGCAAGCTATGTGCCCGCCCTAAGTGAAGGCGGGCCTGAATATTTGTCAGAGGCCAAAATTCGGCATTTCCATATGTGGGTATTCAGGCTCTTGCAGCACGCCACTTGGTTGGGTAGACGCGTGAGCCTCACTAAGCTGCGTCATACAGTTGGCCCAGGCCTTGACAGTTGCGCCTGGGCACATACACGGCCGATACATTTGGAAAAGCAGTACGGCCTACACACCTGCATGGGAGCCCTGCACAGATGCAGTAAACAGCCCAAGTCCGGAGACTCAGGCCGTGCCCAACTGAAAAGGGCCCAGACCCTCAACTGTAGTCTCGGGCCTGGCCGCAGGGTCTGAGGTCCAACCGGAAGCTACTGGCAGCTTCCAGCCAGGCCACATGCAGCATCCAGGAGGCTGCCACTTCCATAAAAGACGTGAGGCAGCCCAGGCCAGGCATTCTGGCCAGTGCTGGCAATGCGGAAGTGCTGCTGCGCTCTCGCTTGATGCTGCGCTGTTGCCAAAGGCGCTGACGGGGCGCGTAGTGGTGAGGGCGCTGCAGGGCAGCGGGGCGCAGGCAGCCATAGCCGGGCTGCTGGGCGCCAGGGGGTGCAGCGCATGATCTGGTGGTCTTCAGGGAAGGAGGCGAGTGTGGGGTAATCAAGGTCTGATTGAGGGTGACGTGATACATACCTGGTGCATGAGAGGTCCGCTATGGAGTTGACAGTCATGTACATTGCTCTTCGAGAGTCGAAGTGAGCCTGTTGCGTGAACCAGCTGTACGTAGGATAGTCGGGCAGAGTAGGTTGGGCGCTGGGCGCCAGACAGAGAGGAGCGACTTTGGATACTGTGTTGGGGTGGCCTACGGGCTTGAACATTGGCTCATTACTTCATTGTATTGCTCTCTATATGGATGGTTTCTCGGTGCGTTTTGTACTCTCTGCTTGGATACGACTACTTGGACATCTGTGTGATTTCACAACTTGACTTTCTGTATACTGTTCACACTCATATTCCTTGCAAAAAAGACAACTGAATGAACCTGCGGGGTTCAAAAAAAGACAAAAAAAAACAGAGGGAATCCTCCGAACAACATGTACCACCCATCTGTGAGTCCCTGGCTTCCTCCCATGTGACCAAGAACTCTGGCGTTTCACTTCTGTTGCCTTGAGAACGACAAAACCTGTGGCCGGCGCATCTTCCTGCGTCCCCACGAAAGATGCTTCCCCGACTTCACGCCTGTTTTTTCCTGCGCCCAAAGGTAGCATTACAGGAGGACCAATACAAGAGGACGCCCGCCGCAACGCAGCCGGGACCAAGAGGGGGGGCGGGGCGGGAACACATTGCGAGGGTGGTTTCAAAAAAAAAAAAAGAAACTGTGAAGCCCACGCGGCCACAGCACCGTCGAAACGAAAAAGAAAACAAATGCAGTGGTAAGATGTATCCGTTGCTGTTCATAGTAACGGATGCATCTCCAACTCGTCTCGACAGTGGTCAAGCGCTCACCAAATGTGCAAAATGAGAATGAATCCGCCTATAGAACATGAGACTATACACCGTCATATTTTTGTGGTGAGTAGCAGAGCAAGGCTATATGAACAATCAAATCCACGGCGAGGCTATATGAACATTCAAATCCAGGGCCGTTTCTATTACTGTGGGCCAGTGAGAATGAATCTTCCGTTACTACCCGAGTACACCGCCATATTTTTTTGTCTTTTGCAGATCTGGCGAGTAGTGGAGCGAGGCCCATAGTGGAGCAAGGTACTTGTCACCACGCTACTTCTATGTAGCAGGCCGGCTTTGGGGCATTGGACCTGGCTCCAGTGCTCACCAGATGTGCAAAATGAGAATGAATTTGCTTATAGAACATGGAACTATACACCACCATACCTTTGTGGTGAGTATACACCGTCATATTTCTGTGGTGAGTAGCAGAGCGAGGCTATATGAACAATTGAATCCAGGGCGAGGCTATATGAACATTCAAATCCAGGGCCGTTTCTATTACTGTGGACCGGTGAGAATGAATCTTCCACTACAACCCGGGTACACCGCCATATTTTTCTGTCTTTTGCAGATCTGGCGAATAGTGGAGCGAGGCCCATACTGGAGCAAGGTACTCGTCGCTACGCTACTTCTCTGTAGCAGGCCGGCTTTGGGGCATAGGACCCGGCTTCAGTGCTCACCAAATGTGCAAAATGAGAATGAATTTGCTGATAGAACATGAAACTATACACCATCATATTTTTTGTGGCGAGTAGCGGAGCGAGGCTATGGGCCTCGCTGCAGTACTCTCCAAATGCAAAAGATGGCAGTGTAGCTTTCCATGTTCTAGCGGTGGATTCAGTCTCATTTTGCACATTTCGACAGTAGTCTAGCGCCACCCGATATGACTGTTCTATTACATTTGAACAGTAGTCCAGCGACGCCCTATATGAATATTTGAATCCAGGGACGTTTCTATTAGCTGTGGACCGGCGAGAATGAATCTTCCGCTACAACCCGGGTAGATACACCACCATATTTTTTGTCTTTTGCACATCTGGTGAATAGTGGAGTGAGGCTCATAGTGGAGCGTCGCCATGCTACTTCCAGATAAGAAACAAAAAAAAGGAATACACTAAAAGGAAACTAACGAATCTACTGTAAAAGAAAAGAAAAATGCGAATCTCCTGGGGAAGGAAAAGGCAACGACTCTACCGGCCTCCGCACTGTTTAGTATTCGAACATGCGCCGACCCCTATGGCACAAAGCGCGCACAAAACAACAGGTAAAGAGAAAAAATCGCCACGACAGGCCCAAGAGGAATCGCACCTCACACAACCGCCCCACGCCCAGCGGGGAAAAGGTCTCACGGGACAGCGTTGCAATGACTTGCTGGTTCCAGGTTGCCTGTAGCCTCTCTCTGACGAGGTTGTACCATAGGTAGGGATAGACTCATAATTTTGTTTGGCTGAGGGCTAACCGAGAGACCTACCTGTAAAGAAAATTCGTGAGGGACATATCTGTAAATATGGGAAAATATAGGCCCAGTACTAACTCGAATTTCCTACAGCTACCCTAACTGCGAATAGCAGACCCGGGCTATCCCTAGGACAGACAGGCCCTAAGGGCCTATGCTGATAGATGGTTCTATAGCCTATAGCCGGGTAGGTAGAGGCCCAAGGGGCCGAAACAGAAATGGTACCGGTTGGTCAGTCAGTCCGGTCTAGGTCGAGTCTGGGGCCGAAACAGAAACGGTACCGGTCGGTCAGTCAGTCCGGTCTAGGTCAAGTCTAGGCCAGGGTAGCGTATAGATAGGTTGAGAGCATCGGTCCAGGGCTATTGGCAGTTGACACTTCGTGGTGGAAGTTGCTGCGCACGCAGCATCAGGTCGTGATGACTGATTGATGCGTGAGAGGCAGCGGACATAGCCGGACCTTCAGAGCGCTGACCAGACTGGGGTCAACGCTGTCTGCTCTGACTCTCTGGGAGTCAAGGCGGTCTGGGCTATTGGAGGTCTGATGTGTTGGAGCACGTGGTGCACTGCTGACCCTCCTCAGGAGTAGGGTCCCAGTGGCGATGCAGGCATAGCTGCATCTTCTCGGAGATTATCATCATCTGGACTTCATCTTCTTCAGAGACTGTTGGCGCTGGGCTTCTTCTTCATCATCTACGCCCGGTGGTTTTTGGGGGCGATTCGATGAGGGACCTAGCTAACGCGTTAAACACTCCGCCTGGGGAGTACGGTCGCAAGGCTGAAACTCAAAGGAATTGACGGGGGCCTGCACAAGCGGTGGAGCATGTGGTTTAATTCGATACAACGCGCAAAACCTTACCAGCCCTTGACATATGAAAGAAACTCCTCGTAAGAGATGTACTTTGACTTCATACAGGTGCTGCATGGCTGTCGTCAGCTCGTGTCGTGAGATGTTGGGTTAAGTCCTATAACGAGCGCAACCCTCGTTTTGTGTTGCTAAGACATCGCAACGATGTGCTGCACTCACAAAAAACTGCCAGTGATATACTGGAGGAATGAGTGGCGATTGGCTCTGGGAGCCTGTTTCATAAAGGCGCAGGCCACTGAGCTGGATGTCAGGGTGGCGCTGGGTGTTACCTGGGGTTCTGGTGGTATTTTTAGCTGTTCAGAGTGTGTGGGGTTGAGGCGCTACCCTTCTGAGGGTAGTGCAACAGGAGCGCAACAGGCTTCTGAGGTTATTCAGTTGAACGATGCTCTGAGTTTAATAAACAGTTTTAATAACTGTGTCTGAGTTGTCATCTCTTCAATGATTTCTGGCTGTGATCTCTCGGTTGTCTTCTATGGACTTCGGTGGAGAGAATCCACTGTGTTGTGTATTCTGTCACTTCGCTCTTCTGAGTCTTCCGCTGCGTTCCTTTTGTTGGGCGGTGTGACACTCCACTACCTCTCCCCTTCCTTCTGTGCATGTATGGGCGTGTACGGGAGTTCCTGTGAGTGAGCGTTGACAAAATTTCAACGGACAATCATGTTCATAACAGCATCATGCAAGACCTGTGTTTTGCTTTATAATAGTAAAATAAAATAATTTAAATAATAATAATTGATAAAATAAGAGATTATTGTGATATTGGTGGAGATACGGTGGCGAGTTGAGGGACGAGTGGCATTGGTTCCAGGGTCATAATACTTGGCTGACTAGTGCAAACAGAAAATGGAACCGAAACTCACCTTATCAAACATTTGCCCCCAGTGCCTCCTATCCCTGGGACAGCTCCAATATCTTGGTGTTTGCTTGTTTCACTAAATGGCTTCCCAATGTTCACACAAAAACAACCATCCATGGAACCCACAAAGAACTTCAGAGCAGCACTAAATCAATTCCATGTAAGACAGGAATTGCCAGCACCGTACCATCTTGCCGTCCTAGGGACGAAAATAGGACAAGATTCCCCACCTCTTTGTTTCACGATCATTTAAGCACATCACAAGCACACTGTAGGGAGTATGGGATCAACTTAATTTTTGTAGTCTGACAAAAACAAGAACTAGCACTTTGTGGCACTTCAGGGACCTACTCACACGAGGCCTAGGGGCAACACACTGCACCTTTTTTTTCAGCGGCCAAGAAAGAAATCTGATTGCTGACTGTTTATCCGGTATCTCGGTGTTTTTTTTTCTTTTTTCTCAATAAGGCCCCAATCTAGTTGCCGGGGGGGGGGGGGGGGGGGGGGGGGGGGGGGGGGGGGGGGGGGGGAGCATCTGCGACAAAATGTGGCCAGCATCCCATAGAATTAACCATTAAATTCGCCACGGAATCAACGATGCAACCACCCACTACTGCAACAATTCACCAACCATAGACCAAACCGTGTTGATTGCTCCCATCATTGAGGACTTAGCTGTTCGTCTTTAGAGATCAAAGACTTTCCAGGAACTGCTGTCAGACTTGCAACCCAAACATTCCTTACCATCCTTCCTCCGATAGGACTTGTGCGTTGATTGCTCCCATTATCAGAAAATTAAATGCTGGTCATCAGAGATCCAAAACTTCCTAGAGCTGCTGTCAGGACTTACGCTTTGATCGCTCCCATTATCAGAAAATTAACCGTTAGTCGTCCAAGATCCAATACTTTCCTAGAGCTGCTGTCAGACTTACAACCAAAACATTCCTTAACAGCCTTCCACCGATAGGCCTTATGAAAGGATTTCAAGCATTTCTTACTCTAAGTCCCAGTCCCGGTCCCAGAATTCCTGAAGTCCTACCATAGCCAACTGAGTTGGCCCTGTATTACGATAGCAGCCACAGGGTTCGATAAGTTGGCAGTACCAGCCAGTTTGCCATCAGGCTGAAGGGTCCAATCGTCGGTACCATTAAGAAATAGCAGTTCCGTCCTGCAAAGTCTAGTAGCCACCCGGGCAGGCCTGGACCTCACCTGGCTTGCCTGCCCCAGTGGGTACCTGCGCAGAAAGAGGCAGTATAGGCCACCAAGGGACCACCACAAGCACTATTCCCCGCCCAGTGGGTACCCGGCAGACAGAGCCAGTATGAGCCACCGAGGGATCAGCACAGCCCGGGGATCAGCAAAGACAATATTCCCTGCACAGCGAGCAGCACAGGCTGGCATCGGAAGAGACGGAAACAAACATCCCCTCCCTTTTCCAAGCTCTCATCCCAGAGATCATTTTGCCACCATCTTTCCATGTAACACTAAATCCATACATTGGATTTGGGCAGATTGCTGAATGGGCGTCTTCTAGCGCCCAGAGTGAACACAAAGCATAGTGTGCAGACATGTAGCAAACAACACAGGTAGGCAACTAAAGGCAGGTTGATAGGCCAAACTTCAAAAGCAAGTGGCCTGCTAAGCATTTACAGAGGATAAACACCCTCCCTCAGGCATATGGTCCAAACATGCAGCGAATAGCCTGGATAGGCAACCTGAGGCAGGTTGATGCTGAGCCTTTTCTGAATCGTCACTGAGCAGTAGGTAAGGTTCGTAACTTGCTATGTACTATATAGCTTGATTGAACCATGTGCATTCAAACTGACACTTGGAGTCAAACATGATAGAACCATGTGTTCTCTTTAAACCACCACTCCATAGGGCCTTTACTGTACCACTGAACTTGACGACAAGCACCAGAGCTGAAGCTACAGTATTCAGACAAGGAGGAGGCTCGGAGGGAAAAGGCCGGTGGGCCCAAAAAATGATTTGAAATCGGAATTGGGAAAAAGAATAAAAAAAATACAAAAACAAAAACGAGAAACTGGGCTAAATTACTCAGAAAGACGGAAACAAAAGGAGTAAAGAAGAAGACATACGCAAATTTGCACGAAATACTGGTTGGATACATCCTGGAAAGGCAAGCGTGAGTATGCCCTCGTCTTAGAACAAGACAAACAAAAAAATAAAAAAAAAAGAAACAAAGATTTAGCTGTGATTGACGTCCGATACATTCTGGAAAGATTTCCCAAGAACGTGAAATACACCCTGCCTCGCTGGCAGGGTACTGAGAAAGAAAGAAAAGAAGGGGGGGCGGAGGAAGGAAACAAACAAAGATCTGCGCCCAATAGTGGTCAGATACATTCCGGTTAGCACCCGTGCAAGTATGCCCTTGACGAGGGCCAGACATCCCTTTTTTCTCTTTCCCTTGTCCTTCTTGTGTCATCTGTAGGCACGGCCTGCAGGGCTTCAGTTCAACGTAGGCTGGCTGTCACATGCCTAATCGGCATCAATCAGAACCGAGAACCGACCTCTCAGAGACGATACAAAAATAGCACAGCGGAAGACTAAAATACCAACGTCTGAGTCAGCATGGACAGTGACAGGTCCTGACAGCACTCATCATCACTCTGTCCGAGTGGACTCAACGCTGCAATCATAGAAAGGGCGCTGAGTCCAAATAATCCATAGATGGAGGAAGGAGAGACAAAGGGTAGAGGGACGTGGGGAGGATCAGCCTCCATAGCCTGATGAACCCAGTCTCCAACATACCCCCAACACCGCTCCTCATAGAATGTCAAGTTGCAATGTCACTAAGTCCCAATGCCGACTCTCTCTCTCTCTCTCTCTCTCTCTCTCTCTCTCTCTCTCTCTCTCTGTGTGTGTGTGTGTGTGTGTGTGTGTGTGTGTGTGTGTGTGTGTGTGTCTGTGTGTGTGTGTCTGTGTGTGTACCCAGGACTAACCTGTGTAAAGGTGTCGCCTTGATGCCTGTGCAGGTGAACTGGCGCCACAGGTAAGCTGCAGGTAAGCTCTCCTGGCCTCCACCTCAACTCTCTCTCTCTCTCTCTCTGCAGGTGAACTAGCTGCAGTTGAGCTCTCCTGGCCTCCACCTCAACTCTCTCTCTCTCTCTGTGTGTGTGTGTGTGTGTGTGTGTGTGTGTGTGTGTGTGTGTGGCTGCAGTGTAACTGCAGCACCTCAGCTCCTATCTGTGCCCAGCGCGTCGACCACTAATACCTACGACACTACCTGAGTACTACCTGAATACTGAAGGTGGAGCCCAGCTATAAATAGCGCTGGGGTCGATCCAGGGCCGCTGGGCCGCTGGGCCGACCAGACCTCCGCTCACCTACGATCCAGGACCATCCGATCTACCTGTCGATCGGCGGTCCAGGATCCTGCGCTGAGACCAAAACCTGGCGCCTAAACGAAGTGGACCTGCCTAACCTGGCACCCAACATACCGGCCTAACCTGGGCCAGTAACTGACCTGGATGGGCGCCTAAAACGAAACTGGTGCCTGACTAACCCCTGGAGGGGGGGGGGGGATGGGGGGCGGGGGGGGCAAGAAGCTAAGTAAGCCACACTGGCATTTCCCGCCATCATTGGTCACCATTTCGTTTTTTTTTTCCTTCGTTTTTTTTCCCTTGAACTTTTTGTGCCATCAGGCCCATCTGCTGGCACCAGCTACAGCACTTCCGTTGGAACCGGTACCTCTAGATTTCTTTCAGACTGCAGTTACTGTACAGAGTAGGGGTCCAATGGAGTGGTGGTTCAAGTGCTTGCTGGGGTCCGATGGGGTGGTGGTTTAACTGCTTGCCTGGCCAAAGGTGCCTTGCAAGTTGGAAAAAAAAAGCAGACCTGGCTGCTGGTGCAAGGTTTCTCCCATTATCGGGTAAAGAGAATGGGAATTCCCATCTTACCATAAACTTGCGTATAAGAAACTTCAGGAGCCGGAGAGCACTGGCATAGCAACCTCTCCGTGTCTGGTCATCCACTGATTTTGGTAAAGCCTTGTGTTGAAAAACAGCGAGTACATACCTGCATTCATAACCCATTGTCAACATAGTAGGGTAAGGAGGACACATTTCCCCCCAAAATACATACTCCAGCAAGTAAAGATGGGTCAGGTGAGAGAGTCTCAAGCAAGAAACAGAAGAAAAAACAAAACACAAGCAAATGCACATTGATTTTCATGCCGAGCTAAACACAGCAGAAAAATTGCCACAAAACACAAGCCTCAGAGCAATCAACATGGTGATTTAAATATCATATTTAATAAACTCCGAAGGAAAGAAAGAAGAAGAGAACAAATTTCAACATCTCAAAACAAAATAAAGAGTTCACAATGAAGCGCTGCAAACACCTCAGCGATCTATATGCATGATTCATTAATGCCGGGTCATGTAGACACTGAGATGCACACACTTATCACACGGATGCTCAAATGCACACAGAGGGTAATCAGATGGATGTATGAGCAACATAGCCCAGGCTAACCTGACACTTATGTGCACATTGTGGGGGTTCCATGTGTCCTAAGACAGGTCGACCCGATTATCAAGACAACATGTCAGTGTCCCCTGGCCTCCAGTCCTCAAAAGCATGCAGAAGGCTACTTTTCAGTGTTTGCACCCCAAATCATCAAAGGATTCAAAACATTAAATTTAATAGGACCAATGATGGCACATAAAATTCAACATAGTCACAAGTAGATGGCCTGTTCGCATGCCCCACTGAAGAGCGGCTAATTGGCATGCCCCATTGAAGAGTGCCCACATCTGCACCTATCCTAGTTCTAGAGCCCTTCAAAGACGTACACTGCAAAACATCACACCACCAGCACACGATCAACAACATGAGACGATTTCACCTTCACAAGCAAATCGTGAAACTTTCTCTTTGCCAACCTGATTCTTGGACTATTTGAATAACGGACGAATGAAATCAATACCCAAAAGGTGTGAACAATCACATTATGCACGAAGCACAGCATGCAAATCTCCCAAAACTGATCTTCCGACAGCATCCCTAGCCTTGCTGTCAAATGAGCTTGGTAAAATGTGACTCACGGGAATCCGCCAAAATTCATGAAGTAGTTCCGGAACCTGTGCGTCTTTTCAGTTACTGGCCGATTGACAGGCATCAAGATGCCATCTAGAACCTGCACAGGCAACGCAAAACAGAGCATGCATCCACTGCTTTCGCATCAGAATGGAATATTCCTGCTCATTGGCTGCCATGGAGCATGATGGACAGAGAAAAATTTGTCAGCAATTGCAGCTGCCGAGCAGGTCCTTCACCTGATAATGTCCTTCATAGATTCCACCTCCAGATGTCATCATATGCATTTCCTTACTCGCCATGACTCATATCACATCCCGCATCAACTGCCATTGCCACAGTACAAAATGCTGCTGTTAACCACAGTCTAAGAGGACGGATGTTACTGTCGAGGGAATTTACCAGGTGTGGAGAAATCCCTCCACCACGACCACGTGCGACTCTGTACGACATTAGGACAACTCTGTCACTGATGTCAGTGCTACACCGCTAGAAACTGCAATGCGACACATGGCTGCCAAAACGCTGAGCCTCCAGCATGAGAAATGTTGGTGGACCTTATCAACACAATCAAAAGAACATACTTAGTACCACGTGTAAGTACTAACAAGTGCTGTGCAATGCACTACATGCTCTACCGCTGCATTCAGACTCGCTCTCATTCACACTTCTCATGCATGCAAACAGGTGCGCAGCAAACTGGTGACAAGCGCCCACTCAGAACTCAAGAGATATGGTAACTGAGAACACAGATCACATACAAGTTCACTTCGATGGCTATGGCGACTCGGCGCCCACACAACTCTCTGTTCGCATACACAGGATCACCCTGGATATCCCACACGCGATACTCTGAACACACACACACACACACACACACACTGAACTCTAACTACAGCTTTGGCGGCTATGGCCGCTACTACCCTATTGCTATGGCTACACTCCTCTCTCGCCCACTTCGTCCTCGGGCTCACTGCAGACCACCTCGCACAAGTCGCTTATGGTAGCGCTTCCGCATGGCTCACGCAGGAATGAATGAATGGCTGGGCGCTGCCTCTTGAGTTTTACTTCTGCGGCTCGTTGGGCTGGCCCTTTCCCATGCCCGTAGTGCACACAGTCCCATGCCTTACTTGCTTGAATGGACCAGGACTGACTGGGGACTGGGACTGTTGACTCAGCACGGGTAGACTCCACCACTTGCCCACTTGCCTCAGCCTAAACGTGGGCAACTTCGAAAGGCCACTACTGGGACCTTCCGGAAGGCCGTAGACTTGGCCTTTCGATACTGTATCAGCTACGACCTTGACCTTTCCGGACTGTAGCAGCTACGACCTTGACCCTTTGAGAAGGCTACAGCTACGACTTCTAGACCTGACTGAGAGTCCTACTCGACAGGTCTACAGATCGAACCCTTGCTACCTATGGACCCTACGACAACCTACCAACTGTTACAAATACACAGGTCACGGGTTCAACTCTAAGGGTCGACACGGATACTGTACACAGGTAAGGTGTGGACTAGGGATCGAGCCCTGGGATTTGCATCTGAGCTCGTGAATACCGTTTCACCGCGTGTCAAAAGTGCTGCGGAGTGCACTAAAAATCAGTCTGGCACAAAACATCCAGAAATAATCAACACTAGAAAAATGTAAAGGAACTTCAAAGAGAGAGTTCTCAAAGAAAGAAGACATTTGATCCATTCCTTATCATATTGGACATTCAAAACATACAATTTCGAGGTAGCATCCCAGCCAAAAGGTGCTTTAATACAGGGTATTGGAAATTTAAAACATATGATTTCGAGGTAGCATCCCAGCCAAAATGTGCTTTAATACAGGGTGTTGGAAATTTATAAAATATGATTTCGAGGTAGCATCCCAGCCAAAAGGTGCTTTGATACAGGGTACGGTATTAGATAATGGGTACCGTTTTGATACAGGTGCTGTAATAATGTTTTAAATTTTAACTTTTAATACAGGGTACTGTTTTAATAACCGGAAAACAGTATTGCACACCCCGACGGTCGGCGGCCCTTAACTGGTCTGCTGCCTACCAGCCGACCGATAAACTTGGTCGGCACCTGCCTGTCGGGGATTGTCAGCAGCCCGCACAAAAAAAAAAATTAAAAAAAAGTTGGGTCCAAACCCTACCAACACCACTGTGATGTGTGAACCATAGTTGCGGCGCACCTCGGTGCGCGGATTTGCGCACAAATTGCGCACCACGCACAGCGCACCGCGCAGCGCACCAAAGCGCAGCGCACTTAAAAAATTAGGTCCAAAAAAAAAAAAAAGAAAAAAAAAGTAGGGGTTTCATAATTTCTTAGAGCCCCCAACTCGGCAAAAATGTTTAACTCACCACGCAAGCTCGCAAACCACCCGCGCCCACGGCGCAAACTTTTCTTTTGGGTAAGGGCTGCCGAAATTTCAATTTCCGCAGGCCCTTCCCCCACAAGTTTTATTATAGCGAGGCACAAAATAGGGATCATTCCAACTTTTGTTTTAGGCGGGGTATGCAAGCTGTCCTTCCCGCTGCCTTCTGCAAATCCCACACAGTAGTGGGTGAGTTCGCAAGAAGGGTTAGTCGCCTACTAACGACCAGCCCCACGAAATCTCGCAGAATTCACAAATTACATGTTCTATCGCCAGCCGACCACCAATATATGCTGAAGATTGGCGTTCAGGTCCCCATGTCGGCAGTTATGGGTCAGGATGAAGATGCCCATGGCTCTCTCGTTTTTTTGTTTTTGTTTTCTTACAAATACTTCAGGTGTGCACAAAAGACATAGCATATGGCGGTGTATGGTTCCATGTTTCCGCAGAAGATTCATT